AGCTCGTACTTCCCAGATGCAGAAATATGGCTCGGAAAGGTTTTGTCCCTGCCTTCAAAGCTATGCGCTTAGAGAAAAACAGATAATTAAACCTCTCACCTGGTGAAGTAGAATTTGCTGCAAAAGCTGTCTTGTAGTTCAATAAAAAACCTGTCATTTGAAAATACCTACTATTTAAGAAGTTGGTCTCGGTATTTCTAAACTCTGCCTTTGTCTTGCTTTGTCTCAAATGTTTCTTTCACTAAGATGTGATCAAATGGAAACACTATTGGAAATGTCTCAGCTATTGCTTTCAGGTTTTCTGAAGATACAAGCATGTATGATTTTGGAGAAAGCCACAAAACCTTTCATTACATTGTTCTCACAGCGGGACCAACTCCAGTTTATTCGCAGTGCAGAAACCTGGGTCATTCAACACACGGCTGGCATGTACCCCAAGGACACTCCAGACCCCTCCTGCAGTCCTTCTTCCCTCGTGGCTCCTGACCGCTGCTACTTCACAGTGGGCTCCAGAACACCTCCCAGAGCCCTTCTCCAACACCCTCATTAGGTGCTAGAAAATGACACTGCTACAGAGCTCCTCTCCCTGTCCATTGCTAAAGGCTTGGCTTATATGGATACTTCCAGCCCTTTCCCAGCAGCCACAGCTTCCCTGGCTGGTCTGACTAAATTGCTGGGAAATTTTAACGATTCCTTTTGAAGGAAAGCTCTTGGAATAGAATAGGGGGGCGTTAGAGCCAGGGCTCCCCAGAGAGCAGCAGCACCCCCAGGACACCTTGGATATCACAGAAAATTGCAAACAGGGTATCATGACCTCAGTTCCTAACATTTCACATTAAAATGCTTTAATGATCATCCTGCAGTGTCACTGCAAAAGACAGCTAAAGTTATTTGTTGCTCTCTCAACAGTGTTCTGCTCTTTTCTTTCATGAAAGAACAGTTCCCTAAACCAACATTTTCAGAAGCACTTGATCTTCCTAAGAGCTATACACATACCAGGAGGCAATCTTTGTCCTCATTTATTTGCGTGTAGAAATTTCTCTCCCATTTGAAGTGCAAGCTGTGAAAAAGAAACTGTCTTGAAAACATGAGAAATGGTCTTGAAAACACAGAACATGCAGACTTTGTTCTGAGTTTTATGTGACCTTTATTATGCATGTGATGTGGAAGACCATGTCAGAGCAGTTATTATATAGAAACTTTAGAAAAAACGTGCTATTCACCTAATGCACGGTAGCCCTTTGGAAGAGGAGTGATTGTTCTCCCAGTTCTTGTCTTCCATTTTGTTTGCTTTGTTTGGTGGGGGTTTTTTTCATCTGGCATTAAAAGTAGAGGAAGACGGTTTAGCTTACATTTTGTATTCAGGCTGCAGAATAGCACCAGTGCCACAGCCCGTGTGACACAGAGACTGAAAGATCCCCTGAAGAACCTGACTTCTGCGAGTGATCGGGATGGTGCTGAAAGACCGATCCCCAACGGATGCTTCCTCCTCAAGAATCTCACAACTACAGACAGACTTCGCGCCTGAATACAAGCAAGAGTGCCTCCGTTTGTAGAGCTACCTTGTTTTTCTAGTCTTCAAAATGAGGCAAAGTTACTCCTTCTTTTACATGGCTCAGAAATGACTGATGGGGTTTTAAGATACACCTGCTCCTGGCATAAACCCCAGAGGAGGAGGATTCGGGGAGGAGAGGAGGAAGAGTGTTGGCTCAGAGGCTGGGCAATAGTGCTTAGCCGAGAGCCGGAGGGGGAGCGCTGACGGAAAGGGTCCCCCGAATAAGCGGGGAGGCTGCGAGGGCGGAGGGCAGGGCCGAGCAAAGAGCGAGTGCCCCGGGGCGCAGAGGGCAGAGCTGGCTGGAGAGTGGGGGGCCGGGGGGGCTGCTGGCGGAGCCAGGTTGGGGGG